ATTCTTCTTCAGGAGAACAAAGGGTGTTCTCTGTTTTCCCGAAGAAGAATAGTCAACTATTCGAAAGCACTCGAGTTTTGGGTATTATTTTAAGTCTAAAAAAAGTATATTTATTTAGCTATGCTGATAGCATGGTTGATTTTTATATGTAGCATACTTTAATCAGTTGTAATTATTACTATATACTATGCAACTTAGAGGAGATTTTATAACATACAGAAATGCTGATTTCAAAGTTAAAAAAGGAACTTGTATACTCAAAGTTATAATTTAGTAGTTTAATAATAAAATGATGAAAATTAAAATTTTCTATCAATCAAATTTTTTTCATTATCAGTATAAAGCACAGGCAACTGATTGCAGGTTATGAGAGATTGTCTGATTATTAGTGAAGTGTTTAATATATCTGAAGATATTTATTAATAAATAGAGCTTTAAAAAGACCTTTCTATTAATGAGTTATCACTATTTTAAATAATAGATCCAAACTCGAGATAAACTTTGCTATAAAATTAGTAATACAATTGGTGTAGCTCACCAAAGTTCTCTGCATCAGTCCTAAGTATATTTTATTATTTGTCAGTAATCTAGACCCCCCCCCCAGAGCTATCTGAATTTTTATGTGACATTTTAATCCTGTTGGTGCTTGTTTTATCTAAGTAATAATTTGTTGACTTGGCCTGTTTATCTTTTTTTCATTTGTGTGTGTGTAAATCTTATGTATAGTCTATTATCTCTCACTCTGTTTTTTACATACTTTCATTTGTTTCATAATTTCACTGTAAAAAATCTTTGTGGCCTAGCTTGGTTTGGTTGACCTGGATTTTTAAGTTCTCATATTGTGTTTACTTTACGTGAACTGTTGTGCATTTACATGTATTAGCAATTTTAATCTGTAATATAATGTAGATTATTTCATCCTTAGACATAATTTTATCATATATTTCCAACTAAAGAGGGATTTTGTTACTTTTTTGATCTAATGTAATGTAAGCTGTTGAACAAATTATAAATTATTCTGTTGCCTTATTTTACCAATAAGTAACAGATTAGAGAAAATTATTACATTTTATGGCATGAAAAATTGTTGTAATCCAGTTAGGTTTTCAAGAACTATAAAATATTTATATATGAGACACATTGGTAGCTGACTTGGTAGAAAGTCTGAAGCAGAATTTTGAATACCTTAAGGATATGTAGATGTTTCTGTTTTTATGTTAATGTGTAGTGAAATGTTAATTTATTTTAAGGCTGAAACATTACCGTAGCAAACTTAGATTTTGTTTAATCATAAGGTTTTTTTTCTTTTCAGAAACCAGCCTCCATGTGTTAACAGAAAGAAGCAGAGAGAATGGTGGAAAAGAGAAAGACATTGTATGCTTTTGTAGTGCTGTGAATTTTTAATAGCTTGAAAGAAAAACTCATTTCTATTTTACATGTGAACCAGTACTTAGCTTGTAAAAAAAAAAAGAGATTGATCTCTGAGGAGAGGCTCGGGATGTATGCATATTGGAGCATGCGATGATGTTTCTGCAACTCTTGTCTTGTTTTTCTACTTCTTTATGGTTAATTATGTTTTATGATTTGCATAATAGGTAGCCTACTTTGACATTTAAATTTACAGCAACAATTTAAAGTTCTGTCTGGTCAGATTTATCAAATCAATTTACTCACATCTCAAGGCTATTTGATACTTATTTTAGCAAGATACTTCATTTTTCATTAAACATTTTCTAATAAAAGTGCCCTAATCTCATGACTTAATAGTACATACAAACTTGAAAAGCAAAACGTTTTATAAACAACAGCTGTGAAAGGAACTAAAAAAACTTGTATTTTCATTGTTCCTTTGGAACTAAAGTATTACCCCTAAAGTTTTGTAATTTATATATTTTATACTAATCTTCAATAGTTCTCAAAGTGTCGTATTGTAGCTGCTATTTTCAAGTTGTAAAGTGGATCAACATAAAACAGAAAATATATGTGTATATTATATAGATTCACACACACACTGCTAATTTTGTTTAGAGTAGCTACAGTCATGTGAAGGAACCTGTAAATGAAGAAAGAAATACTAGAATTGGAACAAAATTGAAAATTTGCATGTAATGTGCAATGATGCAACAAACTTTCATTCAAAATTTGGAGAAGATCCATCAAAGGGGGCGAAGTAGTGGTAAAAAATGCAAAATCTGTCATAAGTACCGTAAAACGAAGAGTAGAAAGGTGAAACTTTGCATGTAACTGCATCAATAATCAAAAGTAATTAATTTCCAAAGTTGTGTTAGGAATTGGTTTGAATATAATATTTTGCTTCAATTATAGATACCTTAAAATTTTATTTTACAAAAATGTCTAAGAAAGAAAATAGCAGCTATCCTCTAAAACTGTCATTAGAACGTACACTAGAATTGTAGGCAAATAGTGTAAACTTACTGTAAGTAAATCATGTTTATATACATTTAAAATAAAGTTTGATGTAAACTGTAAGATTGAATTATGATTTTGTTTAAAGTACATAAAGATCTTTCATGTTTATTTTACATTTTTCAAATCCATTTATGATTCTCAGTTTTAACAGTTTCTGGGAATACATTTTAAGAAATATGTATTTGAGCTCAGTAAGATACACACAAATTACAGAAAAGTTATGTTAATTTTAAAATCTAAAGAAACAAATAAAAAAGTGTAACACAATAGCATATCTTTATTTTGGATGACATTTTAGGAAAACATTTCCAACTAAACCAAAAAATAAATAGCACTACAAACAAATGTTTTATATGTATAAATTTTAAGTTGCAGACAATGTTTAGGGAAGGGTAAAATATATACTGGTAAGAAATAGGGCTCACATAGCAGTAAGAATACACAATCTAGCAGATTTAACTTTTATTCACAAGCCTCACTTGTGAAATAATATCTAAAATAGGACCAGATATGAGTGTTGAAATCTAGAACATCCCTCTTCTGGAACTACTATCACTGTCAGACTAGATATTGCCTAGTCGTCAACATGCCGTAATGTGAATCTGAAGCTGCAAAATCCTGCTCCAAACTTAAGTACTATGTGTGCATTATAACAGTGGGTCAAATCCCACTGTTTGATTGGACAGGAGGTTACAGTGGGTGATGTTGACTAGTTGCCTTCATTCTAGTGTTTCAGCTTAAATGAGGGACAGCTATTGCATGTAGCCCTTGTGAATATCAGAAATAAATGAGCCATTTTCTGTTTGGAGCTGCCCGTCAGTGGCTCAGTAGTAAGACTGTGGGTTTATGATAATACACATGGTGGGCAGAGCACAGACAGCCCATTATGTAGCTTAGTGCTTAACTACCAAAATAAATAAGAAAACCTGTCTAGAGATATAATTTTCTGAATAATTATATCATTAGTATACTGTCTGTTTAGTTATACTCTAGGTAATAATTGCTCATAATAACAGGAAGGCAATGAAAAAAATTAAGAATTAAATAAAAATAAAACAGTTTACTATAACTGGAACATGTATTTCCTGGAATTATAAAGTAAACTCTTTGTTTCATTTTTTTCCAGTAGCAGTAATTACTGATCTAGTCATCTTAGGTTTTATTATGTTGTTCATACAAGTATGTGAAATGGAATGCTAACTTTAGAAGATAAGTTTTATTTATTACTCCCAGTGGACCATTTGTAGTTGCAATTGATTATTTTTAATAAAGGAAGTAATCATTGTTGTAGGGTTACACAGAAAAATGATCTGTTATGTTTCCATATTAACAAACTCTATCCCTTAGTAAAATGTAGTTTTCACCCTAGTTTTGTCTGTGTGATAGTTTTTCTCTATGAATTATTACAAACATCCCCACTGTAATAATGCTACATTCTGTTAAGGAGAAAACATGTATGTGACATGTAAAAATGCATTTCAGAACTCGGTGTATGTGCTTGTACAAGGTAAGTTTTTTGTATTTAAGTAAATACGCAAAGGAACGTATTATAAAAGATTTTATGTATATATGCACTGTATACTTACTGGTACCTCTTGTATTTAGCTCTAAATTTAATTCACGTGCTTCTTATAGAGCTCTGAGATATTAGGATTTAGTCTTTTAAGATTTTTGAATTCTCCCTACATATGAATTCCATTTTTGTGTGTGAGGAGTGGGGTAGTAACTGGAACAAAAGTAAGTATCTTTAATCAGAAGATATGTATAGGGTGGGATTAATGGTAGCTTCAAACAGCATCAGACTGCCTTGAAGCTGTTCAAAAAAACCTGAGGCAGTTTAAGATTTTTTGATAATGTTACAGTTTTTAAAGGCAAATATAATACCACTTGACCTTCTTCTGCTCAAAATAATTGTAAAAACACCACTGGAAGAGTCTTGTTGATATGGAATATAATGTGGACAAATACTTTTCTTCATCATAATTTCAAAGCCTTAAATAAAAAGGTTTTTGTAACACTTACTGTACTATCAAAGAATATATTTATCACCTGTCTTGCATATTGGAAACTACTTAAGAGCTTTTTACAACATTGAAGCTTGTTAGATAAAAATTGTAGTTAAAGTCTATATGTGCAAAGTTTAAAAAGTGTACATCTGAAGCTAAGCTATAATTTTGTAGAATAAAAAATACATACATATATATATATATATATACTATGAACATGCATGTCACTCACCATGAAAAAATACTCATATTTATAATTACGAAAGAAAAAAACATGAGAATTTGATTCCAATGAATGGGGAGAGGATTGAATGACCATTTCCAATATTTTAAAAGTTTACAACTTAGCATCTTGTTAGTTTGAGATAAGATAAGTTCTTCTTTGTTTTTACTTTATTTACTTTTGAATACTTTTGTTGTATAAGTTTAATTTAGGCAAGGTAAATCACTTAAAAGCTTTGTGTAAAAGAATAAGTCCACATTTTTTTTTTTGGAAAAAGACCTTGCTAATTCCCTTACACTGAAATTCTGGCTACAGCCTTGAATGAAATTAACTTTCAGTAATTGAGACAAAATGTGTGTCTAATAATCTTGTTAATATCAGTATATTTTCTAACTGGACATTTGTAATCCATTCATTTTAGTAGCAGTAATTTGTGTACATGTATAGATGATGAAAACTTTATAAAAATAAGTCCTTGTTTTTTCATTTACTTTATTTTGTATAGATTTTCTTGCTTTTTCCAATGATATATCTTTGCACTTAATTTTCATAATTGACTTAATTATAGCCAAAAGTGTCACTAGGTGCTTAAAAGATTTGGGGCTTGGGCCCATAAGCACGAGAAGTTGTGGCATTTCAGTATGATATCAATCATGATTTTTCAAGACACGTGCTACATGTTTTCTCAGTTCCTAAACCTAACAGGGTTGTTTGTATGTTGGGAGAAATGTTCCAACTATGAGCAACATCAGTGGACTTATAGCTGTTATTAGTTAACAAAAGTTTTAAGAAACGTTTTCAAATTATGAAACACCTGGATGTAAATAGCCTTTGGGTAATTAATACAGAGCGAAGGAATTAGGACCTATAATTTCAAAAATACTTATAGATTAAAATTAAAACTACCATTTTAGAACCCTAGATGTACATCTTTGGAGAAAGGCACATAGAGATCCATGGAAATGTGTATCCATGATACATAATTCCTTGCTGTAAGTGGTTAAAAACATTTGGCAGAATGTGCTAGACAAACCACATGTTTGTGATTGGGTATGACTGTCAAAAAGTTTTCTTAGCACATTTTTTTAGTTGTGTCTTAATTGTCTGAATTATAGCAGGCAATTTTAATTAGGACACATTTATATACTTTCTTAAGTGTTCTTTTTATGTCCGTGTTGATGAACATTGATACTTTAGGTTCATATTAGTAAAAGTGGATGATTATTTGCAAGTTATTGTGATTCTGCTGAGATTTAATGTAGATAAACTGTGGCACCTTGTTTGGAAGAAGCATGTTTTGTTTATGCAAATGGGATACCTGCACTGTACTCCCACAGGGATGAAATCCCAAATTTTGGCACTGTAAAACATCAATTACTATTAAACAACATTTACATGGAAGTAACCACTATTGACTTAATTACCACAGATTCACTGAAAGCTGAGGATACGTGTTGTTGTTGTTACTTTTTTGAAAATAATTTTAATATTACAAGATGATTTTTAAGAGAGCAAGCAGATACATTAAAGCTCTCTCCATTAAATGCACCCAAAGATGCATGTATCTAAACCGTGATTGTTCTTTGAGTATAAGAAAGAGTCTCACTAGTAACACCTATTGGGTTGAAGAAAACAGGATACAGATAAATGTTTCTAATGTACTGTTAGAAAATCATTTTCAGATGATATATGAAGCTTTCATATTTATTATCTCAATGATCTCATAAAAACGGTTTTAAAATTGTCAGTTTTAACAGAGTGGACTGTAAAATGTTATTTACTGTATATACATGTAGTATAGATGTATTTAAAGCAATTGCTTCTATATATCTATTTACTGTGTTTATGTATGTGTGTAATATACTTAAAAGGGCATTGAGCATGATATCATTATGGTAGGTAAAACTAAATGTTTAGGATATTTCATTAGCCAGGGCTGACCCATTGAGGGGCCTTGCGTGTCCAGTTTATATCGTGTGCCCCCCCCCCCAAAAAAGTTTCAGATTTCAAATTGATATAAAATATTTGTGCCAAGAACAAATCAAAAACTAAAATATAGTTAAAACATAGTAATAATAATAATTAGCTTAAACATAAAAGTTTTTAATGCTTTAATAAGAATATCAATAATTTGAAAAGTCTGGGAAAACTACATATATGTCAATGTCATATGTGGACAAATGGGGGTCAAAGTGCATGTGCCACAACCTTTTACAAAGTGAAATTCAACTTGGTATTATGTATTTGATGTCAGAGTTATCAGCTGTTCATTTTATCCTAGATTTCTGACTTGGCAACAGTTCATGGTGGAGTAAATTCAAGATTCAGTATACAGGGATACTAAACACAAAATGTAGATATGCATGCTGGAAGTTCTAGAGGTTTTGCAATAACGATATACAAACTGTGTGATGACCAAAAATATTTTTATTTTTCACATTAACATCACCTTGCACTATGACTTGTCAAAGTCTCAGTAAGACTGATATCATCAATTCACGGGCTTTTCTTCAGGACAAATACTTTTGTAACGCATCTGGATTTTTGTGTATAAGACTTGTACATTTTACTAAAAGCTTGACACATTTCATGTAGATACACAAAGTAAATTTGAAATTATAGTCAACATTCTCCAATACACAGGGTAAGTCCAATGTACATATTTATTTAATATATAGTAATGTGCAATAGTAGTGAATAAGAGTTAATGAATTTTGGTTACATTTTCTAAAATCTGCCCCACCCATAGTAAACATGCTGCTGCCAGGACTGTTTCAATCTGTTATGCAAATGTAGAAATTAGTTAAATTTAGATATTTTTTTAATTCACTGCATGGAAAGGTCACATCAGTTATGAACCAAAAATATATAACAATAAAGCATATCACTACTGGGGGAAGCACATGGGTTATCAGGCTATTTTGTCTGACATTTATACATGTGTAAATAAAAATAAAAGGGGGTTACGTTATTTGCCCGAATATAATGTGCACCCAATTTTGAAAGGTTATATTGAAGAAAATTTAGTTTTTTTTTTTTTTTTTTT